TATCTTCTCAGAGTAAAAGACACTGATGATCATTTGTTTGCTTTGAGGAGACTGATCACAAACCCCTCCGTCTAGACAGTTACCATTGATGATAGTAGATCTGCAGGCAGCCAGGAAAGTGAAACTGCATGCTCCTTTATTTTGCCTTCTTCCCCACAATGACAATGTAAAATGTTTCCATCAATAATAATAAAAAAAAGTAGCCTAGGTAGGCCTGGAACTCAAAGTAGCCATCCAGGTTGGCCTTGGACTCATCTTAATCTTAAAGTGTCTAAGTCTCCCTTAGTACTGGAATTAAAGGCCAGCATGTCTGCGTCTCCATTCACCTTTGACAAGGACTCACACACTATCTTTTCCGTTTGTATATTAACAGACCTCAGAGTAGATGAAATATCTCTGAGAGTCTCAGGATTCCTGTTGGATTCAACCAGTAAAAAGCTTTGGGAAGACGCCAGAGTATAGATTTGTAAAGTATGATATGAAGTCAGCTCTGCAGGGCCTGAATGTTTATTTGTATGTGTGTGTTGTGACTCTTTTAGAAATTAAAATATAATTGAACTGGGTATGTTGGTTTATGCCTTTAATCTCAGCGCTTGGGAGGCAAAGGCAGATGGATCTATGTGATTTCGAGGCCAGTCTGGTCTACAGCTAGAGCTACATAATAGACGTTGTCTCTCTTGTGCAAAGAAAACAAGACCAATTTTATGCTTATATATAATCAAAATAATCCTTAGGGGAAAGTTATGCAAGCCTCAATCTATACTTCTTGAACCCACATGTGAATCGCCATATATTATTCTTTTTTTTTTTTCTATCTGAAGGAAGAATCTTTAGTTAGTTGACTTTTGGATTAGTAAGGAATGCAGGTGATTTTAGGAATAAGGGACCCTAATCTATGGCGCTAAGGAGTATGGAAAGACAACCGGAGTTTTACTGATGCCAGGAATGGAACGGGCTTGGAACTTTCCTAATCCTGCCCAGTGATGGCAAAAGGAACTTCTAGGACAAAAAGTATCTTTCTTTTTTACTATGATGAAAAGTTTGGGTTACTCTGGATTGGGCCTACCATATTCAAAATCAACTGCTGGCAGTCTCCTAGTTTGAACAGAATAGCTGGAATGCAGCCCTCTCTTCCGAGCTGATAAAACACACTTCACGTTTACTGTAACGTGGGTTTCCACCCAGACTGCAGTGCTTGCACAGCGTGTTCCAGCCCAGACGTAGGCGAGTGGGTGGTTTTAAAAACTGGTCTCATATTTTTAAAAATAGAACGTTTCTAAATGAAAGTCACGATTCCTAGGGCGAAAGAGAAGCTGTGCATCAATGTATTTAGTCCTATTATTCTTCAGATGCAGAAATAAACTCTCAATGGTGCTGATTCATTGTAGCACTACATTGGAATAACACAAATTTGACTGCTGAAAAATAGTTGGAATCCAGAAGGAAGTGGTGGATATATGATGCCGGGTAAACTGTGATTTGAGATTTTATACCACTCAAAGTTATTGCCACCCAAATGCAAGTGATACTAGTTTTTAGGATGGTGTTGTGAGCCAAAAGAGTCAGTCACCGGAGATGAAGTTAGGTAAAGAGCTAAAACCTGCCATGGGTGGAGCTTGAGGCACACGGTCTTTATTCTCTTTATGGATACAGCTTTGAATTTATTCTCTTCAGCCATATGCACTGTGATCTGGATAGTTAGTGGTCTGCTAGGAATTTGAGATAAAACCGTTTATCATTAACAGTGATACAGACTCAGTGGTAGAACATTTGCCTAGTGTGTGTGAGGTCATGGGTTCAAACTTTAGAACCACAAATAATAACAATTATAACAATATCACCTTGATTATTTATTTGTTGAGTAATTGAGTACCAATTTGTGTGGCCCAAAGATGTGGCAGGTATTATGAGAATCTGAAATAAAGTTTCAAAATGAATACTAGTGTTCTATTACAGGATTGGGGGAAAAATAAGCTGAGAGCAAAGAAATTATTCAAAATTAGTATTTAACAGTTTGCTGGCCACTGTATATAAGAAACTAAAGTCTATTATCTTCAAGATCAAAAATTAATGGTAAGCCTAGATCATCTACAGTATGAATAAGAAGTCATGTATCTAGCAAATGCAGAACATTAAATTAGTAAATAATTTACAGTATTTGTTTGGAAGGGTTGGATGTGATAGAGGGCCCTAGCACTTCACTGCCTTAGAGAATCACTCCTATCTCTTGAATACAACAGTTAAATGCCTTGTGAGTGAGGGGAGATATTCAACATGAAAGTGTCATTTCAAAGAAATGTTGGTAGGTATCAGTTCCTTTCTGAAGTTGTGTGACTAAGAAGTATAGCTCACAGTGTTTCCTCGCTGAAGGGAAGTTGCTCGTCTCATGGCATTTGATCTCAAATATCTCAGACACATAATTTTGCAAGTGCTTCATACTGAATTACAAATTTCACTTGTGGAATTCTCTGGCAAACACTCGTGCCTCTTAGACTTGGCAGCTTCTGTATTCAGAGTAGAAATCATCCATAGATTGTCACAGAATGACCTCAGACCAGACCAGGCCAGGCCACTGTGGTTCTATTTCTGGCTTTGACATTTTCCCTGATAATGGTTCACCAAACAATATTATTATGCCATCTACAAAGCCAAAACTTACATTTTGAGGATATAGTTGTCATCTTTAAAAAAAAAAAACTTACTTGCCTTGCAAGAATTATAGTTTATGAGTTGGCCTTCTAGTAGTTAACATAGTAATTTATGAAACTCTTTCAAGTTTGATGATAGGAAATCACATTAGACATGCTGCAGGCAGAAGATGGGTCTTCCAAGTGAGCAAAGCTATTACTTATCCAAGATACTTGTGATGAACAAGGGGCCAGGTATCAACCATGACATCCATGAGATCCAGTTTGTTTCAGTGTTCTCAGTTACAGTGATCCCCAACATCGGTTCACCCACTCTGCCAGGAGAGCTTTTAACAGGTGCCACATGATTGAAGTTTGGCTCATTTTCCTTTCCCTTGCCCTCCCTTTGGTGGAGGTGTTAATGAGTTCAAATACCTATATGGGCAGCTGAGGATTCCAAGGGCTGCATCCTGAACCCCTTACTCTGTCAGCCTGTGACGCCTAGTGAGGGGCTGACTGTTGGCTGCTGCTTTCCAGATGAGCCAAGGGTGCCCGTGCCCTTTCCTTAATCAGAAGGAAGCTAAATGGGAGAAGAATCACTTATTCTGAGGTTACTATTGCTCACATCTTCAGACAGGAGCAGATATAACTCTGAACTGGCTAATGTGTTCCTAGTAAGGGTCACGGAAAGTGAAGTCCCATTGAGGACACAAGACAAGGTCTTGCTTCACAGTAGCTTCGTGGTTTAATAGTTAATAATACACAGCGATTTGGTACTTTTTTTTTTTTTTTTTTTTTTTTTTTTTTTTTAGAATGGATTTCTCTGCACAGCCCTGACTGTCCTGGAACTAGCTCTGTAGACCAGGCTAACCTCAAACTCACAGAGATCCACCTGCCTCTGCCTTCCAAGTGCTGGGATTAAAGGCATGAGCTCCCACCACCCAGCATACTTTAATAGTTTAATAGCCAACATAATGTTTTTTTATTTGCAAAGTCCCTTTACAGCTGTGATTTCACCTGATGTTCTCAACTCAACAAACTATGAAAAATACTGTTATACTCACAGATTCTAGTAGGGGGACCAGAAACGTGTTTCTCAAACCCTAGCCACATAGTCTTCTCCATCCAGTAAGTCTGACATACACAAGCCACACATGATGTAACTCATAAAGTTATGAAAAGCATTCCCACGTTTTTGGGACACCATGATCATACCTGTCCGTCCTAGAAATAGGATTAAGTTGGTACTTACAGACCACAAAAATTAGCACATAGTATGTTAAATGTTAGCTAATATGGTTATTATCATTGTAAAGGCGTTTGAGGGAGTATAGAGCTATATAAAAAAGAGCGGACTCTGGAGCCAGACTCTCTGGGTTTGAGTCCTGCCTCCAGCACATAGCAGTCTCCTTAGGATGGACATGGAGCTCTCACAGCAGCACCAACGGGGACAGGGCTAAAGAGATGTCCGGCTGCTATTGTTCCTCATTAGCTCAAGAAGATTTTGCCTCAAGTTACATGAAAAATGAGGAAGATAGAATGTAACACTTTGAAAAGACTTTATTTTTAAATCATGTATATGTGTGTGTGGGTGTTGCGGCGAGTATAAGTGCTCCCAGAGATGGGAGGTGTTGTGCACCTGGAGCTGGAGTTCCAGGAGGCTGTGAGCTGGTTGGTGGAGGTGCTAGGAGCCTAACTCAAGTCTTAACTGCTGAGTCATTCCTCTCTCCAACCCCTGGATATAATCTTGGTTCTCGCGTGTTACTTTCTTTGTCATTCGTAAGGTATGTTACTTCCCCATAATTCCATAATGAATTTTATTTCCTTTCACGGCTAACCTTTTATTCTCTAGTACCAAATGGAAACCCTTTTCCCAAAACCCACCTTTGTAAAGATCTACTGCGAAACCTTCTAGAGAGTCTCAGCTGTTAGGCCCTCAGTTATGCCAGGCACGCACAATTGCATCTGTAAGCAAAGGATGTGAACTTTTGCTCATCTCCTCTTATTCTCTAAGCACACTAGAGACAAACCGCTTAAACGTTAGATTTCTTTTCAGTTTTTGTTGATTTAGCCAATAACAGGGTAGAACTAGATTTGCTATAGAAGGTCTATAGAGGATCTGGGCTGCTACGGAGTAAATTACTGAGCAGTAGGTTTCCTCTTCTATCTTCTTCCCTCCCTTCCTCCCCCCTTTTTCCCTCTCTCCGTCCCTCCCTCCCTCCCTCCTTCCCTCCCTTCCTTCCTTTTTCATTCTTGGCTATTGGTTAACTATTTTGGTCCGGAGCCGTCAGACACTGCATCTCTCAGGGTTACTGAAAATGATCTAGTTAATTTCTGTCCTCTAAGTGTGAGGGTTTGGTTGTGAATTCTTTCATTGTAAGGAACTAAGGTTCGGGTTCTTTACCAGCTCCAGAGAGTGCTTTAAACCTGGAAAAGAAACAGGACCCTAGGCAGTGGGTGTGGAACGGGGAGGAGTCTTCAGAAGATAATTGCAGCAAAGAAGAAAAAGGTAGCGCGTCCCACAGTGTCTTGTTTTTGTTCTGCTCTCTCAGGATGGTAGTGACAAATGATCAGACACAAAAGCTGGCAGTCTTCTGCCAAAAAGAGGATCAAAATGCCCCTTAACAGCATCTCCAGGAGGACAGAGACCGAGAGAAGGGGTGTGCGTAAGAGGAGGAGAGGACGACAGTGACAAGGCGCCTAGTGCTACGGTCCCAGCTAGGTGCTCCTCCAAGGATCAGAGTTGGTGAGCCACCTCCCAAGAAGGGGTGGGGGTGGAAAGGGGAGGCTGAGGGGCGGGGCAGAAGGCCCGAGCCGGTAGCCTCTGATTGGCTCATACTCTCTCGCAGCGTCTCCGGATTGGGCGGTTTGCAGCGGGAGATGTTGTGAGACGCAGCAGGGCGGAGCTAGCCGTTGGGGTCTGAGTGCTGGCCCGGGAGTGCGGTGTGGAGCCGCGGCCGCCGGCTGGGTCCCTGGGACTGGGACTATGGGGACGGCACAGCCGCCGCCGCCGCTCGGTCCCGCTAGCCGCGCCTATTCGCTCTGCTGCTCCGCAGGCTAAAACAGAAAAGAAAAGAAAAAACAAAGCAACCACAAAAAGTCTGAACGACACGTATCCGCCACCACCGGGTCCCTGCTTACCGCAGGAAGCTACCTTGCAGTGGGGCGGGTGGGGACACTCCCTTATCTGGAAGCCCCACATCCCGTAGCCTCTAGCCCCACCCGCTGCAGAAAAGGGGCCGCCGTCGCCCAAGACCTGTATCCCCGCGGTCCCGGGCCCTCGGTCCAGCAGGCAACTGCAGGGCTGTGCCTGCTCTTGGAGCGGCGCTAGGGAAGCATCTGGGGTTGTGAGCCCGAATCGGGGCGCGGGGACGAGACGGATCCCGCGCGTCCAAGTTTCGGGGGGCCTGGCGAGTACCACCCCGTCCTAGCCCATCTTCCTTCTCCAGCTTGACTTCCCGGGCCGGGTGACTGCAGACCGAAAACTCCTCGTCCCCGAGCGTCCCCCGGGAGGGGAGGGGAAGGAGGTGGGGGTGGAAGGAGGTGGATCCAGAAGGAAGGCGCGAGCAGTCCGCCCCCGGGAAGCAGCTCGCGTGCCCGCCGGCCGGGACAGTCTCGCGCTCGGCGATCGCGGGAGCGGGGGCCCCGGCCGGCCCGGCCAGGCG